GGATTCGACATCTTGCCATGTTACATTAGTCACCGATTTAAATTTGTTGGTTTTAATATAGCCTTCACCAGTTTTTATAGATAATAATTGTTTTTTCTTATTTAAAAGCTTTAGGTGATAAAATTTCAAATACGTCAAGCTTGTTCCTAAGGAATTTGCGTTTTCCAATATATTTTCTCAGGGGATTTTACATTTGAGTGCTTTTCTAATTATTATTATACTGTTATAACTAAAAAAATGTTTAGTTTCTTTGATTGTTTTGATTTTACTTAAGTATTCATGAATTAGCTTAAGAGAGTTTTTACATATAACCCTCACTGATTCTTGTGATTTCATTTTTTGTCGTGAAACTTGCTCACCACAGCAGAAAAAAAAAAAAAAAGAACACTACTATGACCCGTGGAGTATATTGTATTGAATTGTAGCGTTGATGCTCTTAGATTAACATGTTGAAGTAAGTATATTAAATAAAACAATCTAGTAGCTAGTTGTTTTATCGAATCATACATTTGTTGTAGATTAACATGGTGAAGGATATTAAATAAAACAATCAAAAGTAGCTAATTGTTTTATTGAATCATACATTTGTTGGAGTATTTTATTTGCTAAAATAACTGAAACAAATTAATCCTAAATAAAGGAACACACAAAATACGATTACAAAAATAATTGCTCCTATCGAAGTAAATATCCATAGGGGAAGTTCAGCCTCCCAGAGTTTTCGCTCCCTCTCCCAGGCATCCCGATGACAGTTGAAAATATGTTTTCTCAACCTCTTCTCTAACAGCCTGTGGCTAGGATCATAAGGACAAATGATAAATTTTTCTACACAGAAAAAAAAAAAGTTTTTAAAACTTTACATACTACAACAAAAATGTATAAGCTTACCCATTTCTGCTGTTAAGTATTAACTTATGTACTTGCAAGAAACTTATTAATTCGTTCTTGTGTGTGTGTGATCTTTAATTTATACACCATATTAATCCCCACCCTTGCTTTTTTCCTTCCATTTTTGTTAAGGCTTTCTTAAAAAAATCACAGTACATAATTTTTGCATTACAACAGGGAAGAAAAAATCAATTGAAGAAAAACTACAGTCAATATGATCATTGTAATCTGAGAGATGTAAAATTGTACCTTAATGATACCATGTATCCCTACAAAAACATGAATGTTGATTTCACAAATAATCGGTATGCAATTGTCTATGATATGTTTAAAGAATTCCAGACATCGTTCTTATCCAAACAAACCAGCGAACTTCGATAAGGATGAAATGAAAAATACATCCCTGCACAAGATGTCGTCAGAGTGATGTAAATAATTTCATCTGTTATTGTATTATGTTTGGGGGTAAATAAAACTACATATAACCCATTTTTGTGTATTTTATTCATGGTTACCAGAAATTACATGTAAAGTTTTCTTATAATCATCTAACTTAATCGAGGGCCATTTTGTTGAATCCGGTCCCTCTGTCCATCCTAATGGTATTTCAGGATTGGCTTCTCCTTTGACAATGTTCTTTTTGATCCAGTTGAAAATTCTTCGGTGCTCCTGATTTTGAGAAGGTTGAAATGCGAAAGAATCGTAATTTATTATTTCTAAAGACTCATAGAAAGTACTGAGCGCTTTATGGTTTGCCAAATACGCAGCCCGACACATAAATTCATCCACGCACTGGTCGATCCTTCGATAATTTTTCCGGATATTCTCAACAGGATAGAATATATCTCCAAGATTCTGCCAGCGATTATCACTCAATAATTTATAAATAAAACATTTATACGTTAGAGTATTGTCCAAATAGTTGGTGGTCATCAAAAACTCCAAAGCAGCATAATTTAAATTTTCAATTTGGTCTCTTTCGCATACACGTAGAAATGCATCAATGTAACCATCGACACATTGCTTTCTTTGTAGCAGAATACAAATGTCAAGTGTATAAAAGTCACTTTCACTTTCGGCAATCCATTTAAACACTTCGTCCGGTACAATAAAATCTTTTTTATCGATGAGATGAAGGAATAAATTTAATTTCGTTCGATCACTCGCAGCGGCTTTAAGATATGTTTTGTACACGCTTTCGGATGCACAAAATGCTTGTAAATCAACAAATTGTCTCAAGTCAGACATTGTTGTAATCATAAAATAACCAACATCAGTGAAATTTAATTGCTTATATATGACAATTCCCACTTTTTTTAAATTACGTGCGAAATATGATATCCCCAAGGTTTCGTATCCGTTGCGAATCTTATGACAATTCTTTTGTCATCATTGGGGCTGAGAACTACTTTTTCTTGTTTTACTGTGTAAACAGTATGATGTTTGGACTTGATGAGTCTTTGGGATTTTTCGTAACTTCGATTATTAAATAAACAATCTTTGTAATTTTCAAACGTTATTGTTTTAAGTGATGCTTTTGTACTACCTTTGGATTTCTTAACTAATTTTTTATTGAAATCATAACTTGCAGTTCTAGATGCGTACATTTTAGATCTGAGACCCACAAATTCTAGCATAATCTTACCGTTATTTTCATCTTTCTTATTTTTAAGTTCTATATCATAAATATTATATAAATCATAGTCAGAAGTATCAAATCTATGTGAATCATTCATTAATTCACATATAAACAAAAAACTAGTCAACGGGTCATAGTAGTGTTCTTTTTTTTTTTTCTGCTGTGGTGAGCAAGTTTCACGACAAAAAATGAAATCACAAGAATCAGTGAGGGTTATATGTAAAAACTCTCTTAAGCTAATTCATGAATACTTAAGTAAAATCAAAACAATCAAAGAAACTAAACATTTTTTTAGTTATAACAGTATAATAATAATTAGAAAAGCACTCAAATGTAAAATCCCCTGAGAAAATATATTGGAAAACGCAAATTCCTTAGGAACAAGCTTGACGTATTTGAAATTTTATCACCTAAAGCTTTTAAATAAGAAAAAACAATTATTATCTATAAAAACTGGTGAAGGCTATATTAAAACCAACAAATTTAAATCGGTGACTAATGTAACATGGCAAGATGTCGAATCCTGCTTTCAACAACGAATTCGTACAGGATTTATAAGTAACCACCATGTTAAAGATCCTCTTCAGTTTTTTTTTTCAACAATCTTTTAAATGCTTTATGTTTAGAATTAAAAAAGAAGTGAAAAACTCAATGCTTAAGGTAAATGTAATTTTTTCGGCAAATTTTATTCAACCGCACTCTAGTGAAACAGACATTAAAACATTTTCAACAAAAAATAACACATTGATCAAAACACAAATTTAAAAGAATGGTACGAAGAAAACGTCATTGATAAAATCATGAAAAAATTAGAGAAATTTGCAGAAAAGGATTCCGGTTGGGCGTTGTATGAAATTTTGGGATTGAAAATTAACATAAATAAATACGACCCAATTAAATTCGGATATTCAACTTTTGTATCCACACCAGATTTTATATATATATATATAAAAAAAAACATGCAGTAATTAATGTACAAAATAATGAAATCGTTGCCATATATCAATTTCGTTTCGAAATCGTTGAATTACGCCCAGAATTAATCCACAATAACGTAAACATGTCCGCATTCCTTCGAAATTATTACAATAAGGTGTTAGATGACGGAGAGCGAAAAAGCTTGCGATGCATTGGATCTCGCACGCTGCCAGAGACGTATTCAGAAAATATTAAAAAAAATATATCATCGTTTCGAAGGCGGCAAACGGAAACATGTCAAGACACACAAAAATAATTGTGCGTGTGTGTGTTTCTTTATTTAGTACTAATTTGTTTCACTCACTGTAGCAAATGCAATAGTTCAATAAATGTTTGAAAATGTATAAACATATTAGTTCAATAAAACAATTAGTTACGTTTGTGAGTTTTATTTAATATCCTCTTACATATTTATCTAACGGAATCAACACTACAATGATTCAGCATAACAATATTAAGTTATATAAATATCTTTCAAAGTATTTGTCCAGCAGCACGATATGAGTCATCATGATCTACCACGACGGTATAGGCCAACATAGACAAACTGTTGGGATCGAATCGTTGTTCCTTTTCATTTTTCTCAATTCTTTTCTTATACTTAATGATGCGATCCTTTTTCTTGACATTATCGAAGTTCAGGTCAGTTAATTTCCATTCTACAAGAACAGGATTTATTCCACTTGAAAAGTGTATTGCCACTTTGCACGCGGTTAAGTCGAACGATTTAAGGATACATAGAATTCTGGCTTCCAACGAAAATTGAAGACGAGGTTCAACAAAAATAATATTAAATATAAATCCATCAAACTTCAAATAGCAGCAGGGCCACTTGGACTGATAAAGATAGTCATATTTAGACATGTGATTGTCTGCGCAGTTATCCTTAGCCCATTTTTGTGTATTTTCATCTGCTTCGACGTAAATATCGATGTCTGTATAAGAAGACGTCCGACCTAAGAGAAACGCTGCACATCCCCCAGCCATGAAAGTTCTGGACGACCGAAATTTTTGATGTAACAAACTTTCAACTGTTTGAATGATACGACGTTTTTCTTCATTCAGTGAAGATATATCAAGATTGCGAGAAATGAAACTTGTGTTTTTTAATGAGAACATATCTGATGTGTGAACTGTACTCACATGCTTACAAAAGTTACTTTTATATACCAAATATCAAAAAATTGCTGAATTGCAATTCACACGGAAATAGTTTGAAGAATTGCTGAATTGCAATAAATTATTAAATGACCATATATGGACATGAAAAAACTGCTGATTTGACATTTCACCCTCCTACTTCATTGCAATCAATCTTTAAATGACCATATATGGACATGTAAAACTGCTGATTTGACATTTCACCCTTCTTCGCCATTTATTTTCTGCATATTCTGCATTATTTTTCCTATATATTTTGCATAGGAACTCGTAATTGTTTGTCTTAATTCTGTGTCTGTTAGTGTTAAGTGCTAATTGTTGAAAAAAAAAAAATATGAAGTATTCCTTGAGTCTCAAGAAACCAAAAATTAACATCCTCCAGGATGTAGTGATACAGGTAGGTTTTTTATTTTTGATTAATTTAAAAAAAAAAATGTTTTTATATTCATAAAATGTAGAAATGTTTATAAGTATTTATTTTATTTTCAGCCGCCTTTGCCCAAACTGCGTAGACTTGCAGATCTACCTGAGGAAGAAATTGAAAAACTAAAAACAAAAAGTGAGGACGCCTCCACTTCCGCTGTGGAAGACTCCCAGACACCTTCCCAGCTAGATATATCAGGGCTGGAGGAGCCGTGCGTCTCTATGACGCCCTCACTGTTTGAGGGGTTAGAGGCGCACGGAAAAAGCTTGTCTTTCCTTCGTAATGTTTACGGAGTTACGGAGGAAGACGAACAGAGGCAGAGAGAGCAGCAAGAGCAGCAGGAGCAGGAGCAGGAGCAGCAGCAACAGCAGCAGGAGGAGCAGCAACAACCGGTCCGCAAATCACCATCACCACCGACGTCTCAACCAACACCTGCCCCTGATACACCTCATCCTGCTGCACCTGATGATTCGGGTGATGAATTCGAAGACGAAGACAATGCATCTACATTATTGTATAATTTTAAGTGGAAGTGTAGGGCAGCGCAGGACAGACATAATACGCGACAAAGGGAACTAGTGCAAAAACAAAAAAAGTGCAAAAAAAACATTAAAAAATTAGCAAATCAAATTGCAACTCTCCAAAGACAGTTAGTGGAAGAACAAAGTGAATTGCGGGGTGCAGAAAACGAAATGAAAAAAAGTATTCAAAAATCCGACAAATTAAAGAAACTATATGTAAAAATAAAATGTATATAATCTCATAGTGTCAGTAGTAGTGTTAGTAGCGTTAAAAGTGTTGAAATGTTTTAGTAGTAGAATTAGTAGTGATAGTGGTGCTTGTATTGTAATAGTAATATTTATATATCAATAAATAATATAAGTATTTTATTTCGCTTGTTTTTTTTTTTTTTAAGTGTTGCATGTTGGGCAGTATATATCCAAATCAATGGTTTTGCCAAACAATATCCTGTAGCATTTTCGCTAAAATTTTTGGAACCACTATAATCGTCAATAATGGTGTAATTAGGTGACTTGCAGCGGCTTTTGTTTCTTAAGACAAATTCTTGTTTATACTGTAGTGGGATCGATGTATCGATAATATCAGGAATATTGTGACAAACCATACACGAGCATTTCTTAAACAAAAGTCCATGTTCTCCTTGGGAATGGTATCGCTGTTAGTATTTAGAGAGGTAGCTTGTAGAGATGGTAAGTTCTGGTAGGGTGGTACAAATTAACGAGTAGAGACAGACAAAAACAAAAAATTATTTTTGTTTATTTTTGCCGAACACAGCGTTATAAAAATTTATTGATGTCTTGTCGAGCATCAAGTCATCCTTCAACGATGGAACGTACGTCCCACTGGCGTCGTCGTCCCAATTTTCGAGTGATGTTACTTTTGGGGGTTCAGAATTGAACCATTTTGATGGTTGAGATGGTATCGGTGGTGATGCTTTGGGAAGTGCAGCTTCGCGGAGCTGTCGCTCCCTTTCCCAAGCCTCCCTATGACACCTAAATATATGCCTCTGGAGTCTCCCCTCTAGCATTCGATGGCTCCTATCGTATGGGCAAACTATAAAATCCTCTAAACAAAACAAAAAAAAATATATGAAATTTACATACTGTAATAAAAATATAACCTTACCCATGTCCCTAGATATCTATTGGTTAATTCTCTTGATACTAGTTAATCAGTTATAATCACATCTTTCATATAGTCTTGAATTTATATACGAAATTAATCCCTTCTTTTACTCTTTTTCCCTCTCTAATTTTTATTTCAAGTTGACGATTCAGTTGTTTTTCTCTTATCGAAAATGCAAGAGTTTCACTAATTCAGAAAGATTTAGCAACTACGATTTAATACAACAACAAGTTATTTAATACGTTTTAAATTATTTGTCCAGCAGCACGATATGACTCATCACGATCTACCACCACAGCAGTGATTTTTGATGATTGTTTATAGGTTTTTGATTTTCGTTTTTTAATGATGTTTTGTTGTTTTCATATAAAATTCAACAAAAAGCCGTTTTTGGTTAACTTGAAATTTTTTTTTTTAATGTCTTAGTATATTTAGTTGTGATGGTAGTAGTCATATAACAATACATATAAAGAACAACCTATTTCGCTTTTTTTTTTTTTTTTTTTTTTTTTTTAAGTGTTGCATGTTGGGCTTATTCGAATCCTTTTTCGATGGTCTTTTTTTCGACCTGAAAAAATTTTTACGTAGCGACCTCGAAAAAACTAGAAATGGCTCCTGTATCTAGGTCGATGTGGACAGAATCGATTTTTTTGAGCAGACTTATGCGTTCGTTCCAGAAGAAGGTTTTGATGTATACAACCGATATTCTATCTCTTACCATTTGGACACTAGAAACTTTTGCCCTTTTCTCCCTTATTTTCAACTTTTTTGAAAATTTTTTTTGCTCAACATATGGCTTAATTTTTTTAGCTTTTCCCCGTTCCCCTGAGCCGACATGCTACCTCTTACCGCTTACGAACTATGACGTTTTTCCGTTATTACTACTAAACGGTAGCAAAAAATATTTATTTTGCTAAGTGGACCTATAGACTGTTCACTCAGAAATATTTTGGTACAAAAATATATTTTTTAAGTTTTACCGTTTGGGCGCCACAAACTTTTGCCCTTTTCACAGTCATGTCAAAAGTTAGCGAAAAACCGTCGACGGCTATCGATATTATTTGTTTTTGTCAATCTTTTTTGCTCTATACACGAACCTCCTATCTCTTACCATTTTCGAGTAACAAAAATTTTTTCTATTTAAACGGTAGATACACCTATGAGTCATAATCATTTTTACACACGATTAGATAGTACTTCATGAATATGCATTTGATTTTGTGGAAAAACAAACTTTTCAAAATTTGGATTTTTTTTTTGAGATTTTTTTTGTTTTAATTTTTCTTTGGATTCTTTGAATTTTTTAAATTTTTTTTTTCACCAAAACTTCTAATTTACTTTCCTACTGCTCAAGGAAAACTTTTTTTCGAATTTTGACAACCTTTTTTGACAAAAATTGTTGCGCCCCAAACTCAAATTTTCACATATTTAATTACATGGACCTATTGATTATTCATCCAAAAATATTTTGACACAAAAAACAAATTTTTAACTAATTCCGTTTGGTCACCACAAACTTTTGCCCTTTTCTCCGAAATGCTAAACTCAAACTAAAAACCGTCGACACAGGTGCATGTGTTTCGTATTTTAGGAACTTTTTTGTTCTTTGCACGAACCTCGTATCTCTTACCGTCTTCGAGTAAAACATTTTTTTTTTTATATTTAAACAATTATTGCACCTCCAACCCACATTTATTTTTACACAAATGTGTCATTAGTTTATAGGGATGCATTTTTATTTTTTTAACAAACTTTCTGCCCTTTGGCACCCTCAAGCGATAATTCTTTTTTTTTAATATTTCCGAATACGTCCCTGTCTATTGAAGATAAGAGCGTCCAGTTCCGTAAGAATTTGCTGAAACAGCATCGCGTTATTTCATTCTGTGTTGTAATAATGACGGGCGGCGTGTTTCGGTTTATGAATTTTACCGTGAAAAGATTTGGGAAAAAGGTGGTTTTGTTGAACTAAATGGTGGCTTCTGTGAAGTGTGCGTGTATTTGAATGTTTTCGAGGGAGAACGGATGATTTTATTGCCTGTTTTCAATGTCGTAAGTAACAATTTTTTTAATTTTTAACAACACACTCGCCTTCTGACATTTGAGATTTTATTCTAATAATCACGGACAAATAAGCTTAAATCGGCAGAAAGTTGCTGATGAACATTTATTTATTAAGAAAATAACAGGAGTTTTGTCGGAGCAAACACGGCTTTTATTCGTTGCTGTTATTCCCAATTAAATAATTTTAGATGAGACTGGGGAAAATAATACACCAAACGAAATAAACAATATTTATTATAATTTCAATTACAGCTTAAGATTATACAAACTAGTTCGTATTTTATACATTTTAAGAAACTAATAAGTTTTAAATTTAAATCTAATTTACGACGCAGTGGTTTAACCGCAATGTGCACAGTTATTTAACTGATTTTCTTTGCTGAATAATTTTCAATTCTGAATCCAATTTTTCGATTGTTTCTCTAAATTTTCGCTTCTTCTCCATCATTTTTTCGATTAAGGGCTTTATTTGCAATTCGAAACGTTCCACATTCATTTGAAATCTTTTAACATCGTATAACCAAGTATTAATTCGGCTTTCTTTATCATTTATTAAGAAAATAACCGGAACTTTGTCGAAACAAACACGTCTGTTATTCATGACAGTTTGCAATCAAATATTTTTTACATGAGACTGGGGAAAATAATACACCGAACGAATTAAATAATATTTATTATAATTTCTATTACAGCTTAAGATTATTCAATTTAGTTCTTATTTCATACATTTTAATTGCTTCTTTTAAATAACTAATTCGTTTTAAATGTAATTCTAATCTACGACGAAGCAGTCTAACTGCACTTGATTTGTTTTCCACATGAACCAATGCCTTCTTCATTCTTCGATAAATTCGATATTGATGGTTCGACCGATCGGACCTCTATTTACCAAGTACAATTTCAAGCCGTTCACGATCTTCTGGTTCAGATCGCTGATCACTGAGTCGGTGAATTTTTCGGTAAATCTCTGTGGAAGTATCGTTCTAGACTCTTCAAGTTGCACAAATATCTTGTCACCGTACTTTGTAGACAGTTTACTAAAATTTTTTGTTAAAAATTTTTTATTTTCTTCTAAAGTTTTCGCACTCACAAAAGCTTGCAAGTGAGACTCTTTATTCAAGGTAGAAATGAAAGATGACATTTCTAAGTGTTAAATAATTGAATTCAAAAAACTAATTAATTCTTACACACGAATCCATCGACTTTTATACAAGTATAAAACGGAAGTGGGGATGCGAGATTGCGTCCGAGATCCCTCCCCGACCTAAACGAAAAGAGGGGATAGATCTCGAGATGAACGAGGGCAATAAACGACCAAGGTCGAGCAACGACTAGGTCAATGATCGCCCGATGAAAAGTAATGGGGGAGCTGGACCAGCTGGCAAGGTCAGCCACGTGCACCGACAAGCTCGACAACAAATGAAAGGTCAATGACCGCTCGATGAAAAGTAATGGGGGAGCTGGACCAGTTTGACCTCATTTGACCTGGTCTAGAACCCCCACTATATAACTACTTAGATACAAGAAAACTGTTAAAATTCTTCAGAAACGTCACTTTTGAAGTGTTTTCTTGTACTTTTAAGCCACTCAGATACCCTACGGGCTCGGAAAGTGCAACGAAACCATCAAATTTTAGCTAGAAACTGTATTTTTGTCGATTTTTATTGAATTTGAACTATATTTCAACGTTTTTTGATGGTTCTGAGCCACCAAACACACTTAAAGCATGCAGAATCGACTCAGAATAGGAAAAGGAGACGTATAGGTCAATTTTATGCATTCTGGCGTTCGTAGATACAAGAAAACTGTTAAAATTCTTCAGAAACGTCACTTTTGAAGTGTTTTCTTGTACTTTTAAGCCACTCAGATACCCTACGGGCTCGGAAAGTGCAACGAAACCATCAAATTTTAGCTAGAAACTGTATTTTTGTCGATTTTTATTGAATTTGAACTATATTTCAACGTTTTTTGATGGTTCTGAGCCACCAAACACACTTAAGGCATGCAGAATCGACTCAGAATAGGAAAAGGAGACGTTTAGGTCAATTTTATGCATTCTGGCGTTCGTAGATACAAGAAAACTGTTAAAATTCTTCAGAAACGTCACTTTTGAAGTGTTTTCTTGTACTTTTAAGCCACTCAGATACCCTACGGGCTCGGAAAGTGCAACGAAACCATCAAATTTTAGCTAGAAACTGTATTTTTGTCGATTTTTATTGAATTTGAACTATATTTCAACGTTTTTTGATGGTTCTGAGCCACCAAACACACTTAAAGCATGCAGAATCGACTCAGAATAGGAAAAGGAGACGTTTAGGTCAATTTTATGCATTCTGGCGTTCGTAGATACAAGAAAACTGTTAAAATTCTTCAGAAACGTCACTTTTGAAGTG